CGAAGTTAAAGTCATGAGTTTCCAGAAAAAATTATAAATAATACAATAGTTATGCAATGAAGTAAAGTACAGATACTCAAAAAGTGTACTTAAGTACAGTACTCAAGTAAATGTAGTCCGTTACTGTCCACCTCTGGTCACAAGGTTAGGTTAGGGTCTCTGTAAACCCTAAAATACACACGTTTACATAAGTTTAAACAGAAGACAATAATAAGCTCCACATTCCTGCTTTTGCCACAAACACCCCAGATAGCACACGTACGTCTGAAAGATGTCTGTTAAAGATCGCTTCATCTGGAAAGGTCCAATAGACATATTGCAGATGAGCAAACACTCTAATGACAAAATTTTGCAGATGTAAATGCAGACGTCAAATAGATGTCTCCGTGATGTACGTGTGCTATCACGGACTGTCGACTGAGCTTAACCTGTATTGAACCCAGGGGCGTAGCCATCATTTCAGAAGTGAGGGGGACAGAATTAAAAGTGGGGGGGACACGTCCCCCGCGTAATCTACGCCCCTGATTGAACCTTATATTTTCGTTGAGATGACAGCAGCCAGTTTTGCACAGTTTAGCAAAACTGGCATTTCCTCCGTGTTGAAAGTTATGAAACATTACATTGTAAATGCCTTTGCATGACTCCGTCACTATAACAGCACCACTTGCCACATTAGTCACATTGACCCGCTGAACATCCGGTCTAAGTCAAGGTTTCCTTCACCCTCGCTGTTTCCATGCGTCATGCTAGCTGGTCTCTGCCAGCTAATGACCACAATCAGCCACCACGAGGTGGAGCCAAACACTCCTTTTTCATTACAACGCCTTCATCATACTTTAACGGTGTGAACGTGAAAATGTACATGTGCCAATGACATTTCTGGCCCCTGCTTTTGCAGATAAATGCTGCGACGAGTGCGTTTATGTCTGCATAGGAAAAAAGGATGTGTCTGATCTGTGTAAACATGGAGGTGCTGCTAGGCAACATCATTCTTATGCCTTAATAAGGCAGTGTTCTCCGTCTGTCCACTCATTCACTGTTTAGTTCTGCATAGAGCCAGGCCACCTGCTTATGCAATCACTGTCAACACACAGCATGCTGGAGGAGCACCGTTTATCTCAACGTTTTCTTTCCTCTGGTTTTCAAACATATAAATACTCCGATACCACTTTTTAAAGTGACAGTGTTTAGATAAAATAATGACACAGTGTTATCTTTTGAGTAAAAACTGACGGTAAGGAAAGATCAGGACAAGCAGTGCCAAATACGTCACTAATACTAAATGTCCCGTTCTGCTCTTTCCACTTTTTTCCCCTGGTCCCTTTAGAAGAGGGTGATGAGGATCGGGTGGGAGGGCTCTCACGGTGACTCTGAAAAACTCAAGTCACTCCAGCATCTGAGCTGAGTTGAGTTGAGTGTATGTGATCCCACAGTTCACCTTTCTACATCAGACCGCAAGACCTTTCCTCTCGGACAGCTGCAGTGAGATCGGTGAGCTTCATCTCTCTGTTTCTTATTTTACAAGAACTTTTTTGTTGTTTTTCTAATGAATTTCCATCCATCTTTCATTGTAGTGATTGTGTGATTACATAACAGCCATTAGACCAGTGTAAGAGCAAATTGTTTTTGAGCGGTTATATAAATTCCGCAGACATCATTATGTGTTATTAGGGTAAAACTGTATTATAGCATCCAGAAACAACATTATCTATTCTGCTAGCTTCAGCCCACACATTAAACCCAACACATACTAACATACAACAGGACTAAAGTGTATCTGGATGCTTGAGGCATCTGCACTCAAATGCTGACAGAGCTTTTCTCAGGACTTAATTCAATTTTCTGAGCCACTTGTGCATTGACTTTTGGTCTACACAGATATCAGAGTAGTTTAAGGCATTAGCTATGAACATGATCCACTAATGTTTGACAACTATGGAGCCCATTAAGGGATATATATGGTGATGGGGGAAAAAATGATATGGGAGAAAGACTTATTTTTCAATGCTTTTGTGAGTGAACACAGAGTTTATTGGGGGAACATCATTCCCAAAACGTATTAATCTATTCCCTCGTTTAGTGGCCAAGTTGTTAAGTTGTTCCCTCACTTTAATCAAGTTACGCTGTCACCACAATTTAACTAAAATGAGGGAGCTGATTAAAAAAATCATGGGAACAAATTAGTACAACGTAGCCATTATTCAACAAGGGAACCAATTAATCAATTGTGGGAATAAATTCTTAAGCCACAATTTATTTATTTATTTTCACGTCATGTATAGAGCTCTGTAATTTTGTGAGCGAATGCAGCAGTTTTGGGGGGAATGCAATAATTGTGAGTTTTAAGAACAAACATAGTTTCATGAACAAATGCAAAACTTTTGTAAGAGAGCACAAAACTAATGATGAAAAGAGGAGTGGGAGGAAAGGAGGAGGAAAGAAGGAGGAAAAATAATAATTAATCAATTGTGGGAATAAATTCTTAAGCCACAATTTATTTATTTATTTTCACGTTATGTATAGAGCTCTGTAGTTTTGTGAGCGAATGCAGCAGTTTTGGGGGGAATGCAATAATTGTGAGTTTTAAGAACAAACATAGTTTCATGAACAAATGCAAAACTTTTGTAAGAGAGCACAAAACTAATGATGAAAAGAGGAGTGGGAGGAAAGGAGGAGGAAAGAAGGAGGAAAAATAAGCAAACAATTTCTTAGGGAACACAAGGGACATTTTGCAGTTTTGTAAGTGAACACAAAAGCATTGAAAGCAAAGTTTTCCTCCCATCTAATATTTTTACATCACCAACAATATATATATTAAAACCTACAAAACACTCTTTTTTGATTAAAAGTTAATGCCTGGATTGATATTTTCTGTCTGCAGTGGTATTAATACATTTTTAAATTATTAAATGAATAGTTCGCATAAAAATAAAAATTATGTCTTCATTTACCATTTACTCATCCTCATGTCATTCCAAACTTTAAAAATTAGGAAACTTCCCCCCATTCAATGGAAATCAAAGGGGTCCAATGTTGTTTGGGATCTTCTTTCCAAAGAAAAAAGAAAGTCATGTTTGGAACGACATGAGAATGATGACAGAATTTTCATCCCTTTAATTGTCTAAATATTTTTGGGGGCCACTGTACTCGCTGCAAAGAACTATGGGAAATATTCTCCACTCATAAAGCATGTTATTCCACAGATGTCTTTTCCTTTGAGTTGTTTACAGAACTATGGGCAGAAGCTGCGAAACACATCCTAAAGCACTGGCTTACGTCAATGCCAACCAGCATGGTTTCTGTATATGTTGAGATGAATATTTGGACGTTGCCTTTCAGATGTCCTTTTCCGCATGAACAGATGCAAACAATCATCATTATGTGTGGCCTGAAGCAGCTTGACATTTAATATGTGAAAAAACAACCACACAAATATTTTTTAAGTGTAATCTGTTTGTTCAGAAGCTGCTCAAACCAATAATTTGGCTGCAGTTAATTAGACTAGCAATTTGTAGCGACAAACAAGCATCTTGAGGTTTCTCAAAATATCTCTGTACCAGTAGCTCTCGCACAAAGCATAGAATCATTTTCCCTCAATTTTCCGTAACGTACTCCCTCATTCCCATACACATGGAGATACACACATCTCGTAACCTGGCTCCATCAACACCTCCTGTTCCTCCTTCTGTCCCAGCTGTCACTAAAGATGGAGGGTGAGAAGGGAACATTAGAGGCAGGTACCAAAGAGCAACCTGATATGACGGGTCCCCTGACAGCCGAACAGCTGGCAGCTATAGAGGATGAAGAGATCCTCAATAATATGGTAAGAGGCAACTAATGGCACTACAGGCGCAGTGGGTTTGTTATCATGTCTTCTTAACCATATTTAGGAAAGTGTTTCACTTCTGTTTATTGCATGTACTAGCTAGATAAGGCTGTGGATTTTGAGGAGAGGAAAATGATCCGCGCTGCCATGAGAGAACTGCTGAAGAGAAAGAGGGGTGAGGACCGGGTCATGTCCCTAATGTCACATATTCAGTACATATGGTCTGCTGAGTCTAATGTGCTTCCTGACATTATTTTAGGTGAATCTCACAAAACTTGTCAGGAATCTGGATTACATTTAAGTCAATATAGTTAATATATTTAGCAAAAAGAAAATGAAGAATATTTTTACAACTATTACATTTTATTGTGACATTATTGTAAGCATAATTCATGCTTTGCTGTCTTTAGTATTTATGCTAATTTTATTAAGTGGGGAAAACGCATCTGGACAGGGCAATGCTCAACACTGTCAATAAGATTTTTTGTATTACATTAATGCTACTTTTGGGTGGAAATCTGATAAATTGGCATGAAAATAATTTCATAAAGAATCCCCCCCTTCCTGTAATAAATCTGGACATTTCATTTTTGGGTTTATCTGTAATTCTCACTATTCCCAGAGTTAATTCTCAATCAAGTTTCATTATCTTTATCTCATTATCATATTCATCATTATTAGTATTATCATACTGTTAAAACTTTAATACAATGAATTTGAAATCAAGTTAAAGTTAAAGACAGTACAACAAATACTACCATCATTTAAAAAATACTTTACAATTTCAATAATTTATAATCATATAGAAAATAATAAATTAGGGGATTTTTGCATTACAGTAAGAATAAGAATGAGAGTTTTTGTATCATTTAAAAAATGAACAGGTAGTGTCTTCAATTGGCACAAAAATAATGCAACAAAGCAAAAGATCAAAGAAATAAAATAATGCAATTAAAAAGGTTATAATTGTCTTAATATAATTTCTTATTTAAATAATAATAAATATAATTTACAATTTTACATGTGAAATAATATTAAAAAAAATTGAGGTCAGTAAGATTTTTTTTTTTTTTATGCTCTTATGCTCACCAATGCTGCATTTATGTGATGAAAATACAGTAAAAACCACTAATATTGTGACATTTAAATATATATATATATATATAAAAAATTTTTTTTAATGTAATTTATTCCTGTGATCAAAGCTAGATTTTCAGCATCATTACTCCAGTCTTCAGTGTCACATGATCCTTCAGAAATCATTCTAATATACTAAGTTACTGCTCAAGAAACATTTCTTATCATTATCAGTGTTGAAAACAGTTGAGCTGCTTCATATTTTTGTAGAAACAAGACATTTTTTTCACTTTTGATCAATTTAATCATTGCTGAATAAAAGTATTCATTTAAAAAAATAATAAAATACTGACCTCTATAACATTTGAACAGTAGTGTGTGAAAATAAGCCAGACATGTTCTTGACAGGTTTCATGAGATTCTGCCTTTAAGACTCCTTACTATTACACAAACAACCAAAGGAAGTAAACTTAGTAAAACAAACTTCTGCTGTTATTTGTTAACTTTCCTATTCAGAAAACTATTATTTAGTTTGTTTTTGTTTTCCTCTGTTTCTGTCAGAGCGGCGTGATAGAGAGCGGGCGGCCCGAATGGAGAACCTGCGTCAGCAGGGTGGTGGAGGAAAGACAGCTGCTGGACTGAATAAGGACCAGAAACCCGCTAATGGCCCGAGCGGCGCTCAGTACAATGCACACAGTGAGTGACCATCACTCATGAGGCTCTGAACACTATGTACTTTTACTGCACTTCTATCTGCAAGGCTTTGATAACCTTTCCCTTCTTACTTCACTTCGGTACAGGGACGGCTCAGGCAAAATCATTTTCTCCACCAACCTCTACTTCCTCTCCAAAAACTGTGGGCAGGTGAGTCATTCCTAGAGTCCTGACAGGATGACAGCGTTGGGTGTATCCCTTTGACTGATTGTGCTGTTTTCCTCCTAAAGTCCGGCTCAGTCCCATGTGGCCAGGGTTAAAGTGCCGGGCAGCTCGGCGGTCGGGGGCCCAAATACCAAAGATGTCAAACAGATGCTGCTGGACTGGTGCCGGGTCAAGACTGAACCATATGAGGTGGGCCTGAAGAGACAAAATAAGATCAAATCAAACGGTTTCTGTTTTGCTACATGTCTGCTAGTCTCCCTGTGTGAATGGAAATGTCCAGGTCACATTTCATAACAAAATCCAAAAATTATGACAAATAAGCACATTTCCCATAACTGTAATGCATCCTTTTTAACATTTAATTTTTGTAAATGCTCAATTTTGATTCCCTTTATTACAACCAAAAACGGTATTGTTTTAATTTTATTTTATTTTAATGTAAATCAGCATAAATTTATAAAATACTTTGCATAATGTATAAATACTTTTTTTATTTTCATTATAATAATGTAAATTAGGTGTGTGGTGGTGGGTGTCTTTTTATCATTTAAGCAATGCAAAAAACCTAATGGTCCTAAAAATGGGCTTTTTTATTTATTTTATTTTTTTTATTCTTCACAGCTTTGTTGGGATTTTCCCTCTTATACTTGTTTCTATGTTTAGGGCGTGAACATCCATAATTTCTCCTCTAGCTGGGCAGACGGTCTGGCGTTTTGTGCCCTGGTGCACAGGTTCTTCTCAGAGAGCTTTGAATATTGCACTCTCGACCCTTATGATCGCAGGGCCAACTTTGAGAAGGCATTCAAGACTGCAGAGTAAGACTTCACACTATTTACTGCATCCACCTTTGTGTCATAAAGAAATGTTTGGGACATACTTCCCCCCCAAAAAGAAAGAAATAAAATAAAAAAATTAAATTAAATTATCATATAAAATAATATTATAATACAAAAGAAATATTACAATAATTATATATTTTATTCTAATTTCATATTATAATAGTAATATATTTAATTGTTCAATATATTAATATTTAATGTAATTAATTTTATTTATAATTGATTTTCAATTATAATTAAATTATAATGTATTTAAATAAGTGTGTTTAATCTTTTTTAATTGTTTTATAAATTTTTCAAATGAACTTAATTTAAATTATTAATCTTTTTTTTTAAATCCAGGCACATTTTATAATTAAATCTGCATAAATAATTTAATAAAGACATCACTATTTTCTAACACTATTGTAATGAGAAATGTGTTGTAAGCAGAGGAAATGTGCTTAAAAAAACCCCATAATGGTCCTAAAAATAGGCTTAATTTTCTTTATGCGTGTAGGACACTAGCTGACTGTCCTCGCCTGCTGGACGTTGATGACTTGATGCGGATGCGAGAGCCGGACTGGAAGTGTGTGTACACGTATATCCAGGAGTTTTACCGCTGCCTAGTAGAGAAAGGCCTCGTCAAGACTAAAAAGAAGATGCCATAGAAACTTTCACATTTTGAGCATTTTCACTGTAAATGACCAAAGAACTACAAAAGGCACACAACATAGCGCACATGTGACCTGAAGCTTCTACCAAAGATCAGTCTATTATGTACTCATGCTCTTCTCTGTTTCATACACGCATGCAGCGGATGAGGTTTATAACCTGTGTGTTTTGTGCTCGGGTACAGCTGGGGCTCTGAAACAGTGCATTCCTGTGAGATTACACATGCCTTAATCTCAGTCTATGCTTAGAGATTGTGTGAAAGTGTGTGTGCGTACATGCGGATGGCTTTTTATGGTACTGCTACTCCCTGTTTTGAATGCGCTCCAGCACTGAGACATCAGGCTTATAAGGGCATGAGATCTAATGCGGAATTATACTTAACCCAGATTTATCATTTGTTTAAAAATATAGACGAGGGCACTTTCACTATTAAATAAGAGTTCAGAAAGAAAAACAAAGCCTTGAAAATGCCTCAGTCGTCTCCTACAGAATAGAAATGTCACCTGCTTTTGCTTGTATACAGGGTGAAATATGACAGCTTGAATAGTTTTCGGTTTCTCTCATTTTGTTCAGGATCTGAAGTCCATCATACTAAGCGTTTGCTTGGTACTACAAAAATGACCCTAGAACTGCACTAAGAGAGATTAGGTCCAATCAAACCTCTCACTCAGGGATAGACGGGCCCTTGAGGCCTGTAAGACGCCTGTAAGTCTCGTTTCAGAAGACCGATGGTAATTTTCAAGTGCTTTTAAATGTTCTCGACACTTTATTTGCTGCATGGCTAATGACTTAAGTGCACTTTAGATGTGCATTTTAAACACAGATATTGACACTTCTATTGTAGCTAATAACATATGATAAAAATGATATATTACAAATTATGTAAGTATTATTATCTAGTGCTTTAAGTCATACAAGTACAATTTCTGTAAATCTGTATCTGGTTTGATTAAATTATGGGTGTTATTTTCCTCCCACAATGCCTCACCAAGTGTTTGCCAAGTATTATTAAATGTGATAATCTTCTCTGAGCATTTTTTCTATTTACTGAAACACACACACACACATAATTTATTACTGGACTTTAGTGACAAACCAAATAATATCACAAAATTAATCAAATCAACTGCTAATACTTCACTGATGGTGGTGCTGTTATTTTCCTAATTAAATGACGTCACTTCCTGAAGGATTATGTAATTGGATTTTGTTAAAGGAATATTACTGGAATATGTTCTGTTCAAAAAAAATATCTGCAATATTTCTTAATAAACTGTCCGTTTTTCAAGTTAGAAATAAGTGCAGCAACTGCCGACACGACATAAATGGCAATAGCAATTCAAATAAAAGTCATGAATTGACTTTAAATCAATTTCTAAGTTCAAATAATAGTACTGTTTTGATAAAGGAAAACTAACTAGCCTAATATGATTTAATAAATGATAAAAAATTAAGAAATACCTGCAATATTTCTTAATAAATCCATTTCTATGTTTAATTATTGACATGGTAAAAAATGAAAAAAACTATAGCCTAATATAATTCCCATGTTGTATAAATTATATTGAGGAGTCAGTAAAATAAAACTATAAACTGACTGCCAATTAATACAATATTTCCAGGATAATGCTCTGTTCGAAACATGTCAAAAAACGGAGAAAAAAAATTTAAGAAACACCTGCAGTATTTCCTAATATATTTTCAGTTTTAAAAAATTACCCAGTCGCATGACAAAAATGAATCATGAAAAAAAAAATCATGAAATTACTTAAAATCCATTTCTATGCCCAAATAATAGGGTTGTTAAAAGTAAACTAGCCTAATATGATTTCCATTTTTAATAAATGTATCCAATAGGTCTAGATGATGATAGTAGGCCTACAGATATGTAACTGGAATGATTAGACCTTCAGCATCAGCATCATTATTGATTGGATTGTGAGAATAGTTCTCGTGAGTTGTGGATATATGCTGTCCTGCTCCACGTGTAACGCATCCCGCTCACGCTGATGCGGCTGATCTTCCGGCGCCTTGCGTCATCTTTAGTCAAACAGAGTCGTTACTAGTCAAGTGTCTGTTGAGGATGTTTCACTCACAGTCTTCGCTGCCTTTCCTCGTGTCCTCTTGGGACTGACGTATCCATTCTCCATCACTCATTATCACACCGGTGGAAGTGTGTGTCCTGTAGAGACGCTCACATCACACACACACACTTGCGCCGGTGCAGAGAAACAGGACAGGTAAGAATTCTTTCGATAACAACTTAATTGTGCTTTTAAAACGAAACGTGGGTCGACGACTCAGTCAAATATGACTGGAGATAGTCTCTTACCGTGACGCTCATCTGTTTGAAGCGCGAGACATCCTTCACCTCGAGACACTGCAGCGTATAAACAAGTGTCGTCAGACAAACAACTTTAAAACAGACCTAGCTTGTCTGTCAAAGAGACTCGCGTTCATTTATCGCCATTTCCATAACGTAGATGTCCATTCCATCAGCTTGTGAAACGGTGAATTATCTGCGAACTCTTAATTGACCAGCGAGGACAGATGACCTTGTTCATGATAGGCGCGTGGCTGCTGGTGGAAATGACGATTATTATATAGGCTACTCGAGATTTTATTTGGTGTCCAGCGGGCTCTGTGAGATATTCACATATTATTTTTCTTGCGACACGACTAGCCTACTCGCTGATTCGTGAGACAAAACCAAATGGATTGGAAAGTTTATCAATTATGAGTATATGTAGCCTAATAATATTTTGTATTAATGTGTTCAGAATCATTGACTTCTTTGAGTGAAATCTCCTGCTTATTCAGTTTTCTCACAATATATGTGTAATCATTCCGTATCAGTCAAAATCATCTGATTCAAAAATAATAGGCTATGTCCAATATTTATTAGTATTAATAATGACAAATCCAGCATTCACTAAAATGACTGAATGGAAAGTAAGGATGGTTTCAAACTAAATCGTCTCTACCATCAGACAAACATTTTTAATGTCTTGAGAAACTAATTTTGCATATACTGCAGAAATGTTGTTTTCTTTCTATTACTAGTGATTAATAGGATGTAAAACTCAAACAATTGGGGGAAAAGTTGAAATATCACGATTGTGAGAATGAAAATATAAGCACAATTAGTTAAAATTATATATAAATAGAAAGATATTTATAGATTAACCCCTCCAGAACCTGTGACCTTGTTTAACTCATGTGAAATATGGCAGGTGTAATTTTTTTTTGTAGGCATTAGTCTTTTTAATGACCTTTTGTGACAACATGCCCCAATAACATGTTACATAAAACAATGAAGCACAAAGTACTTCATTAAACAGCAGAAGTGTAAAAGGTAACATAAATACCATCAACAAATAAATAGTTACATTTTGTGAATATATTTTTTCACTTGGCTCCGTTCATTGTTATAATTTGTCATCATTATACATTTTTAAATTTGATACATTTTTAATGATGACCTGTTTTCATTATGCCACCCTACTACAGTGCACTAAATACTGTGTGAGCAGATGAGCTCTTATACCTCACTGCATTGAACTGCATGGGAAAAATGTTTTCCATTTTATCTTTTCATTGATTAACTTTACTAAACATTACTTTTTATATATAACACTTAATTACTGTAATGTACATTAATGTGCATTCAAATAATTGCCATGAAAATAAATATCAAACATTGATTATATTTTCATATACATTCATATGTGACATCGGTGTTGCACATCGTGTTAAAAACATTAGAATTATGATTTGCATAAAATATATATCAGCCATAAACAAAACAGTTCCTCAGTTTTGTCAGTTTGTGATTTTGATCTGAATTGTTGCATCTTCCATGTAGCATGTGTATAGGCTATATGCATGTTTAGACTGGCCATGTTTGCTAAACTCTGTTAGGAATGTTTATAGCATTTTCTAAGATATAACTCATGTACTTGAGAAAGCATTCTGTCATCTCACCAAAGATCTGTCCCAAGACACCAATTTGTAAAAGCTCTGAGCTATTATTCTGCAACGGATGGTGAAAGAGGCATCATTGCTAATGCTATGTGATGGCCATTATCCCTAGCACTTTCTTTAAAGATTGCCCTATCGATCAGAGTCCTGCTTATTAAAGGAAATATTCCGGAATGTTAAAAGGAAAGAATGTTTGGAAGGGAGGTGTTGGGACTGAAAGTTGTTGCCAAGCAACAGGAAAGTAGATCAGGACAGAGGGGAGGGTATATAGTTGTCATTTGAAGAAAAGGATTGATCTTAGCTGATTGTAGTTCACTGATGTCAGCAGTGACGTCTCAGGAAAGGAAGAAAGCAAGAGGGGACAGGTACATAGCGGGGACATTCAGCCCTGGCTACTGTCCAAAGCTCTTCACACACTCAGCCGTCTCTGTCTTTGACCGTGGGAGAAGGCAGAGGAGTGTGAAGGACACACAAACCCAGCTCTCTCATCTTACTCTGCATTCACAGCATCTATTTTCTGGTTTAGTCACCCTTTCCATTTTGTCCTTCATGCTTTTGCCACCATTTATCAAAGGAATGTTCTGGGTTCAATATAAGTTAAGCTCAATGAACAGCATTTACGGTTTAGGTCAACAATATGATGCTCTTTTTTATGTACTAATTTAATCAACAATGCATTAAAAATGCATAAAATTAAGATGATACAACTCCTGATAATGATTTTTAAGAAGTCTCTTTAAAAGAATGAAATTTGTTAAATGAATGTTGTTTGATATATAACTTTATTATTATTTCTTAAGGGGAAAAAATAAAGCTTCACTACGTACTAATATTTGAAAAACCAAAGTACCCACATAAAACAGGAAATAATATCATAGAGAGGGCCCCTGGAGAACCTCATGTCTGTGTGAAGGTCAATAAGTCTTATAAAATGTCAGATAATTTACATTTTTACAAAGCATGTTAGTTCAGAATTTCATTGAGCGACTCAAAAACATAAGAATAATTATAAATTAGTAAATCATGGTATTTATGAAAGAAAACTTTTACTGTGATATATTTAAAATAAACCTTTTTATTTAATTTTTTTAATAATACTTAATGACATTTATTCAAGATGTAAAGAAAATATGTTAATACTTTTTACTTGATGGTTATACCACATTACATTTTACAGTCATTGCATTTAAAATTTTCTTGAAAAAGATAAAACTTCTTCAAAACTTGGCACGTTTTTTAAAATGAATTAAAAATATATATGGTTTTTTTTCTTTATTGTGGACACTGTTTGTCTTTGACCAATTTAATGTTGACTACCAGCAAAAAACTTGCATTAAACCTGGAACATTCCTTGAACACCTCCATGGCTGTCTGTATTGTCTTCACAGGTAAATGGATCCAATGCAGCCCGTTCAGAGCTGCCCAATGCCCGAAGAACATACTGGAGTTCTAGGACTCCACAAACCACCAGTCCCAGCCCTGCTTGGAAACCCTTGCAAAATGCCTGCATCCTCACACTGCCAGACGGTCATGAATGGAAACCCACCAGTGTTGGGACAGACCCCGGCACTGCAGACAAACCCAGCCGTTCAGGAGAGAACCAGACCAGACTCCACTGCACAATCCACAAAATGCATCAGCATCAGTCGACCCAGGCCTACGGCACTGGGCACCAAGACATCAATCAAAGTCTCCAGACCCACTGAGCCTCCATTGCAGGTTAAAGCTATGGGAATGCCCAACTTCCTGTCGCACTCCCCAACCGAGTCACCATTGTCTTATTGCAGCCCTCAAAACACACTGAGCCCCACTTCTCAACTTGGTTTCAACCCCCCAACACTTCCAAGCCCTCCATCACAGCCTGTCCATGCTAACACACACAATAACCTAATCGCCAGACCAATCCTCAACCCAAACCCCAGCCCCCCGTCTAGCCCCGTTCCTCAACCGATTCCAAGTCCTGAAGCACATGTGCCAAACACAGGAGACGCTACTGAGAAGAAGTTGAACAAGACCATCAGCAAAGAGGGGGATTTCAGGTGAGACTTGTTATATGCCTTGTCAATAACTGTACAACAGTTAGGTTGGGTACCTTGAATCTGGTTGAGAATTTATCCAAAAATGCTAATGTCAAGGTGCAACAGCACTGAGATTTTTCACTGTTTGTTTGTGCGTTGGTGAGAATTTTATTTAGTTGATCTTTCTGTAGGTTGCATTGTTATGCCAGTAGGTGGCGACAATGACTGTCTTCATGACTGAGTCATTGAGTCATTCATTCCATTGATTCATACAAAACACTGATTTTTCATTCAAGAACAAAACAAGTTATTGTCTTTAGCCCTGTCCCAGATGGAACCCTAAGACCTTTTGGTGACATCAAGGCCGCATGGTGGCCTCAAAGGGGCACTTGTGAACACCCTTTTGAAACCTAAAATTACATATGGGATCTTCTGAACTTAATGGACAAGTGTATGCCATGGCCATTGTAATTCCAGAAATCAGCTAAAATGCTAACTCATTCATTAACGAAAGAAGTGGCTGCCTTTGAGCAAATTATTGAATTATACACGCAACCAATTTGCTTTAAAACACTGATCATTCACCAACAAAATGAGTGAGTCATTGAATTATTCACACAACCAAATCGCTCTAAAACACTGATCATTCACCAACAAAATGAGTGAGTCATTGAATTATTCACACAACCAAATCGCTCTAAAACACTGATCATTCACCAACAAAATGAGTGAGTCAATGAATTATTCATTCAACTGATTTATTAAAAATTATTTCTCATTCATTCATTCACTCTAGCAAGTGTGGTGTTGTTTTAAAATTTCTCAGTCCCAATGATATAATATGATTTGACTGCAGTCACTCAGTCATTGGGTTTCTGCTGGGTTTGCTTATAACCACTGGCCTGAGGGGAGAGAATCTGTCGGTTTAAGGCAGCATCCCATTAGCTGACTCAACATCTCAAATCTTATATGTGATTTTGCATTTGCTGACTAAAAACTCTGATTCGGAACAGGACAATCAGGTCTTCAGCACTTGGAGAAGCTTATTGGTCACTGCCATAGCCATGAAAGCCTCAGATTTTAAACCTGCCAGATGTGGTCTGAGGGTTTCTGGGGTTATTAACTCATCATGGAGTTAAGTTAGCACAAGCTGAGAAATCAGCTAGTGGTATGCAGGCATAATAAACCTAAAGCATGCATACCAGCCGAGCTGAGATTTTCTCATCCCTTAAATAAGCATAATATCTCTCTGAGCCTGGTGACAGAATGGAGACGGGAGCGTTGAGCTGGCAGCATTCCTAGACACACGAATGTGCTCCTGGATCCTTTAGCCTGTCATCTTTGACAACATAGACAGAACCCTTATAATGTGTAATGCGGTTTACTCATCGTGCATGTGCTCTAATTAGTTAAAAGCTTCAGCATGTTTTGGAAGCTATTAAATACAGCAGGTGACATTTATCCCAGGCTTTTTGATTTGAGCAATTTTGATGACTCCTATTACCATGACGTAATGCAAAGGAGAATATGACCATGGATTTAAAACTACAGCCCTGATCCAAAACCTAGTGTAGCACCACATATATCCACCATAAATAAGAGTAACTGTGAGAGAAATGCCAATCATAATAGCTGCCTATGTAGGGAATATATAACAAATGTTTCATGCAATCTATTTAAAACATTTACATGAAATGCACATTATGCTTTATTCCTTTTAGAGTGCATATTGTCACATGGAATGTAGGCTCTGGTATACCACCTGATGACATCACTTCCTTGTTTGGACCTGGTGTTGAAAATGGGAGCACTGACATGGTGGTTGTCGGGTAAGAATGTGTAGCATTGTTCAGTTTTATACCTTCCATTATTGTTGCTGAATTAATTAATCTTCCACTACATTCTCTGTGTGCTCTGTCTGCGTTTTCTCATTTCCATGTCCTTTTTGCCGTCTCCTGTTTGTCCTTGTTTTATTGGTATTATTTGTCGTCTCTATCTTTCTTTTTTTTCCTGCTTCTGTTCTTTTATCTCTTTTTAGACTGCAGGAAGTAAACTCTATGATTAACAAGCGGCTCAAAGATGCTCTCTTCATAGACCAATGGAGTGAGCTCTGCATGGACACACTCAGTCGTTTTGGATACGTGTTGGTCAGTATGAAATCAAACGCATATCAGGCTTAAAGGGAAAGTTGACCAAAGAAAAATGCTCATCATTTACACCCCCTCATGATGTTCTAAACACACAAGAAGATATTAACGGTCACCAAAACTGTTTGGTTACAAAAATAATTTTAAAAAAAAAATCTGCATTGCACAGAAGAAATCAATCATATTGCTATGTGGTCATTAAAATGTTCTGATAGGTTCTTAGCTTGCTGCTGTGCAGTTGCTGGGGTGCTTTGTATGGTTGTGAGGGTGTTGCTAGGAGGTTTCTGACCAGCAAAGAAACAGATGAGACTGAACCATGACAAGCTATTGGAGATGCAACACAAATAAACACCCCCGCTGACAAGCCCTTGTGTCAAGCAGTTAAGAGATACATGCAACTCTAATTAACAAAAAAAAATAGCTTAGAACTTCTGGAGAGAAATAGCGCCGACACCGGATGATACTTTCTAGCACACATTAGGGGTTTGCGTCTCCATAACTGAGGCCGATGCAATACACATCTCGATGCATATAGCCAATGATATGATGCATTAAATATACATATGAAGCAGCTACCGATGCGATTCACCCCATTTACGATGCAGTGCGATCCAATTTCTATTCGATTCAACACTGTGCGATTCAATGCAATATGATGCGATGAAAAAAATTATGCTATGTAATTCAATATGGTACAGATAGTTCACTTTTATTTTTTTTGGTTCAGACAGACAGCAAATCATAAATTAACTTCAGTGCCTACTGATTTCTAACGTCTCTGTAGTATTTTGATACGTCATGTTCACTTAGCAGCAGTGGTGATGAGAGAACACGCTTGACAAACAGTTTAGAGAGGATAAATCAATCTACATATAAAATATTGGTCACAAATTATTGGTCCCTTTCTAAATAATAAAAGTATAGCGCATCTACTAATAATTATGTATAAAATAAATAGATTTTTACCAATGCAAATATGTTAGAAATGATGCATCAATGTATCCCATGCACACTTTTATAAATCAATGCATCGCATCGTTAACTTTTATGCCGATGCACCGAATTGGGGAATATTACCATCCCTAGGGCACTTGTACTTGTTTAAACTGGAGTTGTGTGTATCTCAGAATAATATTCACCCAAAAATGAAAATTTACTCATGCCTCAGGCCATCTAAGATATGGAGAAATTTAGCATTCCATCACTTGCTCACCAATGGATCCTCTGCAGTGAATGGGTGCCGTCAGGATGAGAGTCCAAACAGCTGATAAAAACATCACAGTGATCTACAACATTCTATCAATTAACAGCAAATCCATTATTAAGATGATTTTAACTTCAAACCATTGCTTTCGGCCAAAATATGAGTCCATTATCTATATTATTGCTTTCTCCAGTGAAAAAGCCATCTCACCTGAATCAGCAGAGAAATATGCGCAGATCAAGCAATATTTATAAGCAAATAAAAAAAAAAGAGGACAACAGGGGACAGACTTTTTCACTTATTATGAATTATGAACTGGAATTTTGGCCAGAAGTGACTGTTTAAAGTTAAAACACCTTAAGGATGGTTTTATTTCTTAGAAGCACACAGCTTTTCACTTAACGACTGGAGTGGTGTGGATTACTTGTGGATTATTGTGTATGTTTTATCAGCTGTTTGGATTCTCATTCTGGCGGCACCCATTCACTGCAGAGGATCCATTGGTGAGCAAATGATGGAATGCTAAATATTTTCAAATCTGTTCAGATGAAGAAACAAACTCATTTATCTACATCTTAGATGGCCTGAGGGTGAGTCAATTTAAATTTTTGGGTGAACTATTCTTTAACAGCCTTACCTACGCGAGTCAACCTGAGCATCTGTTGTTGCATCTCCGGGAGTTGTTTGTTGTTCTGTATCAGTTTCTTTTCTGACTAAAAACACTAAAATATTTTCTGTTAAAAACAGGCGGTGGCAGTGTTGCCACTTTGTGGACAAACTAGAGTACACTCGTAATATGCTGATGACAAAATTTACATCACATGCACTGTATGCAGACCCTACCGTATGCGTAAAAACTGAAGTATACTTTTGGACTTGGTTTGTTTAAATCTGAATAATGATGTATGCTTTACTAAACTGAACTAATGAGGAGTTCAACTTGAAATGTGTTCATTTCTGTCTAGGTGGCATCTCAGAGGATGCAGGGGGTTTTCTTACTGGTGTTTTCCAAATTCTGCCACCTTCCCTTCCTCAGAGGAGTACAAACCCAAAGCACACGCACTGGGTTGGGAGGCTACTGGGTGAGTCAAACGAGCGAAGACCTCTGGGAAAGAGTGTCTACTTTCTAAACGCTTATGTGATCAGTGATTGTTGTGCTGCATTAGTACTTTAATGTCGAACATCAAATATCTGCATAATGTCACGACTCCCACCGTGTGATGTCTTTGATGATTACAGGAAAAGCGGAGTCAAGGGGAGAGCGTGGAAATGAGACTGCGAGCATGTTTTTGTGTATGTGTGTGTGTGTGTGTGTGTGTGACCCTGTGTGTGTTGTTGTCAGCATGGCTCCAGGCTCATTCTGCAGTCTCCTTTGAGTAGGTCACAGTAGGACATGCAGCAGCTCTGTTTCTGATCTGTCTTCCAGTGCACAAACACACACATCAGGTTCATCTCTGTCTGATCTAATGCAGACTGAACACACACACATAGCAGCTCTCAGTTCTCCCCAGTGCGTTAGTTACCCAGAAAGACAGAGCACAACCCGTGGGAACTGCGGCACCAGCGCTGCTAATAAACTGCAGGTCTCTGCACAGCCCATTTCACCCTTGACTGCACAGCACACCTGTCCTTCTCAGCACAGTGTTTAAATGGATAGTTCACTCACAAATGAAAATTTGGTCATTATTCGGTCATTTACTCATGTTGTTCCAACAATAGTTCAGAGTGGCAATGTCGGTCAAGCTCCAAAAAGGACATGCAGGCAGATTCATTCTGGTGACTTGAATATGTTTACCGAAAATATTCGTTTAGCGATTCATTCAGTAACTCTTTTTGCAGGTTAAATTGTTACCCAGTAGGTGGCAACAAGCAAGTTTTATGCACGAGTCATTTAATCATTTATTCAACAAGTAACACAGAATCGTTCTTGAGTGAAATTAGTTTAATTTTCATTTATTAAAATGTAGGCCTACATGTCTAAAAGGCTCCAGAAAATATGTTTGAGCATCATCAGTATTCTTTTGTTTTTATTTTTGTCAGTATTTTTTTTTAAAGTTACAACAAAGCATATCTATAATTTTTCCTCCCTTGTTTAAACTGCGTGACATATCTTTTATCAAGCTGCTATAGAAAAAAGACAACAATAATACCTTATAAATCTGAAGTATTGGGTGTTAAAAAATAAAGTTTTTACATCATTTTAAATGTAAGATTGAACGTACAACATGTCCCGCATCACTCAGTCGGCAGTGTAATAGCTAATAATATTAATTAATATTTTGAATTAGCTTTTTTCAGTTTTCATTTTAGTTTAAGTCTTAGTAATTTTGTTGTGTTTTTGTCTTTTTTTTGTGTATATATATATATATATATATATATATATATATATAT